AATTACGCTGCCTCTCCCCATCACTCAAGTAAGTTGTCATCCAAAGGCACAATCAGTACAACACAGGACACAAAGCCACTCACAGACAGGGAGGGCGGCTGGTGCCTCAAGAGCAGTGACTCATTAGAACCCATAAAGCTTTTCTATGGAGATCAAGTATCAATGAAGCTATTGTAAGAGATTACAGCTATATAAATGTAGACTAGTTATGAATTCTCACAGGGCAAGAGCATTTTCGAAAAGAAGCAAGGGCACCAATGCCTGGGAAACCACTCAACACCAATGCTGCCTCAGTTGTGTAAGCGCGGCTGCCTGAAGCCTACCATTTTGCTGAATGTAGCGTAGTTCCTATCAAGTGAAGGGACCCTTGGTTCAGCCCTCTCTAAATTCATCTTGTGCCATTTTGCCAAGCTTTGTATCCTTACGGCTCCAGAGTCAAGCCTAACACCATCACCGTCTGCTGTTACAGGTCCAACTAAGAGCCAGATAATTTTTATTAGTCTTAAATAGTTTTCCAGAAATCATAAACTTAATATAAAACAGACCTCTGTCACAAAAGACAAACAGCAGTAAAGCACTTTGTTAAATAGTTTAAAATTTGTACCTACCTTTAACATGTTGAATATTTCAATATTAGAATTGTAATAAAAGCATTTTCTTAGAACATAAAAATTTTAAAAGGAACAATAAATGGGGCAAAATTCATAAACCAAATTGGGTTTTATACACAATTTTTTAAATGTGTACATTATTATTCATACCAAGATTATCACTGCAATTCAGAATCAAACGAATGGAAAGAGCAAATGAAATAAAAGTGAGAAAAAATGCTCCAGAATCTAAGAAGCATATTATCACAAAGAAAATAGTGCCCATGTTTGTTTTCTCAAAGACTTAGAAAACAGAATTTATCATTTGGCTCCAACTAAAATGGCCATTAAATACGATATAAAGTCCACATTTCACAACCATCTTTCTAGATCTTTGTATGTTTCGCTCCGTAGTTCAAGGAAAACTTCATAAAATTTTTAACAATTTCATGCTACAGAATATTGTTTTTCAGGTTCCGGGAGAAAAGAACAATTAGGTTACCTTAAAGGGTGCTTTTGTTAGAAACCATTTGTACCTAGTGTTGCTTATGACTAATCGTAACACAGGCCGACACACTCACCCTCGCCAAGACCACAGGCTTGGAAACTAACACACGTAAAGGATGGATTGTTAATAATAATAGCCAACCTCAGTATTACTGAATTTTCAGTGTTTTGAAAGTTTGCCAATGCATGCTTGTGACATCATCATATATACTTGATGATGACCAGAAGTATCTTAAAATTTATTCTCTGTACATTATCACATATGCATAAAATAGGATTTCAGGTGCCTCTTTTGAATCTGAAAACTGGCATTTTCTTCTTCTAAAGGAATCCTACCTCATTCATATATTTTCCTCTATATGCTATTTATTGTTCTATACTATAGTATTACTAACCCTTAAAAAAAACTATTTAAAAACTTTGTATTTCATGTACATTTATAAAAGTATATTATCCCTTTATCTGTGAATGTGATGGGTAATTTGCATTTATCTTTGAATCGGTTAGAGATAAAAGCAGAAAAAAAATTACGTTCCTCTTCCAAAACCAACAGCCATTCAGCAACATCTATTAGCATTATTTTTAAAAACAGACACCACACAGTCAGCCATCACCACTGTCTCAGCAGCCCTCACAGAGCAGGCCGATCCATTCCCCCCGGCTGTTTGTGTGGTTGTTCATGTTCTCCTTGCCTTTCTGTTGCACAAGTTATTCAAACTAAAGGAAAGGAATGTGAAATAATTGAAAAAGAAAGACTATCAGAATGAAGGAGAAAACACCTGAGGACCAGAGGCAAAAGAGAGGTGAGTTTTGTCATTTGAAATGAAGGAAAGAAAAACCAGTAGGAAAGAACTGAGTTGCACCAGTGGAAGGGGGGCGAAGATGTGAAGAGAAAAATAAAATGAAAGTAAATGTCAGGAAAGACAAAAGATGCGACAGGCAGACCGATGTAGTAGCTTCAGGAAGAGGAGAGCTGAAAACCTGTAACACCGCACAGCCACCTGGTGGGGCAGGGGGTGGAGAGACACTTGAACAGTAAGCAGAAGAGCCAGGAAAAGGCCAGGAGAACATTTTAAATCACTTCTCCGGGTGGTACCTCTCACTCACCCCAGTTTACTTTATTTCATTATTCGTTATTTTAACCCACAGCTGAGAACGGGGTAAGTTTGTTTTGCTTCCCCTTCTGAGTTCACTGAAAAACTCAACCCATAGATCAGGCTGTGCTGACCACTTAGCACCTTCGAGATTTTCTTTAAGGGGGAAAATAAATATCTCCTGTAAGATCACATTCACTACCTATAATTCCTCGCCAGTTGCCCACTTCCAGACTCTGGCCTTGCACCGCTGCTCTGTTTTCCTTCCTCAGGCAGGTCAGACGACTCTGCTTTCCACAAGTCAGTAAATACTGGAGAAAAAATGTTCCGACCCTCCCACAGTTAAACACAGACTAGTTAACCAAGTTCAGTCATCTGGGCTGAATCCTGCGTGAGCCTGAAAGATGTAAACAGAGACTGGGGGGATGGAGGAAGGGCAGCGTGCGGGAGAAGTGGGGCAAAGAAAACAAAGTAGGCAAATAAAGGCAATGGGCAGACTTAAAATTATGCCTACCAAAAATGACTAAAACTCATTTTCTCATGTTAACAGTAACAGAAAATGAATAAAAGCTGAAAATACCATAGTTTTATTTCAATGTTGTAAAAAAAAGATAGTGGATGCGTTAAAAAGGAGAAATTAGGTTCATTTGCTTCTACTTGTGGCATGGTAGACATTTAAGAACATTTATGAAACTCAACAGCAAGTTAACTACTGAGATTCCTACTAATAACAGGTTCAAATCGTAGCAAAAAATTAACACATGACCTCGGTTTAAATACTCATTACCACACAGAATTCGCTCTGTATTTCGGAATAGACACTCGGGCAATCGGGGTACGGCACCTTGGCTACCCGCTGCAGGGTGGCTTCTGAGCCTTTCAGAACTCGCTCTAATGCCCTTGGTCACTGATTACACTCCCTTTCACCCTGCCCTTGAAAATATCGCCTGCTTTGCCTCAGCGAGCTCCAAACCCTTTCCTGGGTGCAACAGAGGCAAAACAGTGGGCAAAGGGCTTGGCTGCCATGCAGAGCCAGGAAGAAAAACTAGACACACTGATAATTAATATTCTCTGATCCAATTCTGAAATTTCCCATCTTCTGGCCCTCTCCACCTCCGCCTCAAAGCTAGTCAGCTTTAAGCTTCACTCCTTGAAAGGAAGTTCAGCTTGTTGGTCCCAACCTACTTTATTTCTGTATCCTCTTTAAAACTGCTGCCCACGTTTTCTAAGAAGAAAAGTCAAACGTGCGCCCTGCTCATAAGCTCTAATACACAGCCTCTATCGAGGAGAAAGGCTCAGCAAAGAACCCCATTTTCTTGGGAGGTGAAATCCTCAGTTCCCTCCTCATTCTCAGAAGGCAGTGATCAGATCATGGGTGTCACACATGTGGTTACTTCAAGTTCAGATTTTGGGGGTGATGGTACCTAGTAATCCACAAAGGTAAGGGCTTCCCTTCATTCATGCGTGACATACTGTGCATTTGGGTAATCACCTTTTTGGCTTAAAAAAATAATAGCCAAAAAATATTTTTTTGAAATGTTAAGCCATAAAACTTTTTCCTTCTTTGGACATTTTATGATCTCATTCATCACCTCACGGACATTTTTTAAAACACCTGGAGCATGAAAGTTAAACAAACACAACCCACCACAGCATGCCGAGGTATGGTCAGAAAACTCAAATCTATTCAAAATGAAACCTTTTCCTATTACTGTTTAACTTAAGTGACAGATATGACTCTGTTTAAAAAGGTAAGGGCTGGAGTACCACTCTTCATGGACTGTCTCCCTACAAATGACCAGGATCCTAGGCCAGTTCTTTTCCCAATTCTCTTAGAAGCTGTCCTTGGTATCCTTACATGCACTCTGAAACTTTGGAATCACCTTCATTATGATGTGCTCTGTGCACATTCTCGGACGCTGCAATGCCCATACTAAGGCAACACATCAGAGAAGTTGGCAGCAATGCTATCAGCAAGAATTTGGCTTCAGAATCAGGAGTGATTCATCATACATTCTAGCAGCAGAAAAACAACACACATCTATTTTAATCCCTTGGTGCTATCAAGAATCAAAAAACAGTACAGTAATTAAGTAAACGCAGCAAAAATTGTATCTGCTGTAACACTGGTAAAACATTATTCAGAAAACAACATACTACTTACCTTATTTCACAATTATTTCATAATTATTTATTACAATGACAAATCAAGTTTTAACACAATTTCAGGAGAAAATAGGTAGTCCAAACTTCTGCAAAGTAACATACTGAAATTCTAAATTTAAAAAAACAAATTTCTCATTTGCTTTACAGTAAATAAAATCCCTCCTAGTGTTTCAAAAGAAATCACTTCTTTCATCTCCCTCCATTTTTAAAATTACTCTAATTTAAAGTCTAAAGGCTAAACGAGTGAGTGTGCTCCTGTATCTATCACAACCAAACAGAGAAACCTGATATTGTGGGCAATTTATTCAGAACACCCCCCCTTTTTAGAGGTACCTTAACAACTACATAACTACTATTAACAGAATATAATAATGGAACCCGCTTATGTCCTATTGCTCTAGTTAATGAGCACGAAACATATCTCCATCGCGAGTCATTCTCTTACTTCCTGAGAATATAGTATGTCTATAGTTATCAGAGATTATCAACCAATATTTCGGTATAACCATCCACGTTATTTTACGGCTTACTGTACATTTAATTAAAACTTAAAAACTACTACTCTACTGTTACGACCAAGTCCCCAGGGGCGTAGGGGGAGATTTCTCAAGAACTCCACCCAGTGCTCTTTCGGGGACCCTACCTTTTCAAACACTTCTTCAGCCTCCCTTCGTTTCCGTTTTCGGGGTCTCCGGTTCACTCGAATCCATTTCTCGACCTGGAGTTCAAAAACCACAGAGCGATTTAAACACGACGACGGGTCGTGAGGGCCATCCCTCTGCGTGAGAAAGAAACGATCGACGGCCTCGCGACGCTGCCTGCCAGGGCTTCACCTGGGGAAGCCACAGGCACCTTCCGGGCTCGCCGGGCGGCCTCAGCGCCGGGGGCTCAAGAGACGCGCGGGTGTGCGGCGCGCCGAGGCCGTGACCTTCGCCCGGGCCCGGCCCTCCGGTCACCGGCCCGGTCGGCCACCCGCGCGCCGGTGCGCGCCGGAGCCCCCGAACGGGGCCATCTTACCCACCGCTGTCGCGCGTCGGCGCCGCGGGGAGTCCGCGGTGAGGATGCGGCGCCAGACCCACCGCCCCCAGGGAGGGAGGGAGGGGAGCGCGGGGAGCGCGCCTCCCGCACTCACCTCGGCGCTCACTTGCCGCGCGAGCCCGCACTCCGCCCCGGCCTGGCGCTCCCTCTGCAGCGGCTGCGGGGGAAGGGGAAAGAGTCAAGTTTACCCCGGGAGCCGCCCCAGCCTCCCTCCCCCGCGCCCCACCAACTCGGCGCGCTGACCCACTACCTC